CAATAGTAGAGTTGTCAAAAAGGAAATAGTTACAATTCAGGCAGAATTCAGGAATATTAATAGGTTTGAAATATGGTACTCGGACAGGAGGGTATGCAACAAAGGGACAACTACCATCCTTTTATCCCTTCAAAAAGTTTACTTCTTCCTCCTCCCCACCCCACATGAAGTACAAGATAGCATACCTGGTGCAGCAATTTTATCTTCATTTACAGCCAATTTATGAGTGAAATTAAGTTTAAAGATGTGACTAGCTTAAGGTGAACTTTACAGCCAAGGAGAGAATTGAAGCTAGGTCTCTTGTGCCAAAATATAATGTTCTCTCCACTCCACTACAGCGGCTCATGGTTTGATATAACTCTCTTATGCTAAGCAGCAAATGCAAAATGACTGTAAGACAGAACAAACTTTCACAACTTTCATGAGGAGGGTATGAAAAGTCTGGAAGCACAAGACCAGGATGAGTAAAACTAGGATTGACTGTTAGATTTCTGAGAGATTTGCTATAGGTCACAAGAGATTCTGATTCCTGATGTGTAATGACAGCAAAAACGGAAAAAGCTCTTTCCACCACCTAAAATAGGTTGCTGTAAAAGAATGCTTGTGGGAAAAGTAGGAATGGATTTTTGTGTTAAAGGATTTGTGAGCTTGGTTTGTGTACTAATCATAAATTCTCCTGAGTATGTGCTCAGAAGACCTGTGACCTTAGTTCTTAGCATTTTCCAAGCCACCTGAGCTCAGGTTTTGCACCTTTCTTTAGTTTGTATACCTCAGGGTACTAAATGAAATGAAATGAAATGAAATGAAATGAAATGAAAAGTTGATCCCCATTGGCTGAAGTTTGGCCATCACTGGTATTAAGATGTAGTAACCATATTCTTCCAAATCACTTACCATTACTTTGCTTCTTAGAGAAAAGTGATTTTTCAGTACTGTTTTAGGTAAGGCAGAAGAATCACAGCTTTAGAGAAGTTCCTTGAGCAATCTATCCTGATATTGAGCTCACACACTTTGGGAATGCCAGAAATAATCTGACTGCTTTGCATTGATTGAGGAGGTTCTTACTTTGAACCTAACAACACTTACTTTTAATCAATTACTTACATTCTGGGTGCATGAGGAAAAAATTATCTGTGCAACTTTTTTTTCTGTGAGAGACTAACACAATATCATTTGTTGAATCAATTCTGTATGTCTAAAAACTGCATACTTTTGGGTGCAGAAACAGATTTTCTATAAGCAAAAATGAGAAACTGAAGTGGAATACATCTAACCACAGATAATGAAGTACATTATATCTTACTACATTGATTCATTTGTACTTAAACATATTTAAAAAGCACATTTAAAACAATGGGTCTTTAATCTTTTGCCATGCATAGTATACACCACCTCTCTTTTAAAGTTATTATGGGATAGATCAATGCTATACGCCAACAACTCCCAGTCCTCCCTTTCATGCAATGGTGCACTGGGGAATTTCTTCACTGTTACAAGCTATAATGTGCTTTCTCCTGAACCGGACCTCCCAGGACCCAAAAGTGGTTAGAACTTCTGTCCTAATACTAATATCCCTGTTGGAGGCAAGGTGCAAAAGTGTGTAGTGACAGGACAACTTTGGACATTCCTGGAGGATTCATTATCTGGACCCATTTCAGGTTGGGGTATGCATGGGGTTGCTGTAAGTTAACAGGTGATTTGAAAGCACA